ACAAATGTTGTTCTTACCAGCACACACCAGTCCCACATCACTGTCATGAGAGCAGTTGTGTTTAAGTGAAGGTGATGTTGGACAGAGAGCAATCTGAGATTCTTTGCCTCCACACTTAAGCTCCTCTGACCACACCTGACCCTCCCCTCTGCCAAAAGCAGCTGCTGCCAGCACCTCCACAGGAAGCCCACAGCCCAGCTCTCGACACACAACCTCTGCATCCTGCTGGTCAAAGTCAGCATCACACACTGTGGACCAGGTCTCTCCATGAAGCACCTCCACTCTCCCAGAGCAGTGAGAAACACCAACCAGCCTGACTCCTAAAATATTATCAGGAGAGAATTTTCATGTATCACATATGTTTATGATTGACAACAAATTGTTGACAAATATTTGATTTCTCTACTGAGTATTTTAGGATAAACATCCTTTCAAAATTACTTAAGATGTCAATGATTGTAAAAGTAGAGCTAAATGGCAAACAAAGCCATTAAATGAAACTTAAGAACTGAATAAAATTTATTGACTAGTGTACAGTGTATTAGCGTATTAATGCTAAAGGCATTCTAGTAAAGATTACCTGCACAAATGACTCCAGCATCCTTAGAATGATCACAGTTATGTTTTCCCCATCCTGCTGATACACAGTTCTTCAGTGTAGACTCTGATCCACTACAGTACACATCATCCATCCAGACTGGTCCTGATCCTCGTCCAAAGTGAGCATCACTCAGTACATCTACAGCTTCTCCACAGCGCAGCTCTCTACACACCACTGCAGCAGCAGTCATATCCCAGTAATCATGACACACTGTTCCCCACTGATTATCATGAAGAACCTCCACTCTCCCAGCACAGCGATTACCACCATCCACCAACCTCACATTGTCTGTATAAGAGAGAGAGTAAGAGAGTAAGAGTAAGACATCATGATCCCTTATCATCATGAGCCTTATCATCACTTTTGCACTGGCTTGCTCTGTGGTGTTCTGCCAATGTTTCTCATATGGTACACTCATTAATATATTACATATAATATCATTACGTTATATGAACATATTCATATAATATAGATATTAACCAGTTCCAGTGAGTCTATCAAGCTCTTAGATGTTCACTTCACTGTACTTCACTGAGCATTCTGTATTGTGCCTTTGAGTGATCTTGGCTGAGCACCTACTTCTAGGGAGAGTAAAAAATAGTTAATTATTACATCTAAAAAAAAAATGGAAACAAGCAATTTAACTGGTTGTATTCAAGTAAAATAAATACTTTGAAGGAAACAATGCAAAGTGCAATTATGATTTAGATTAACAAAGCAATGTTTTACATCAACCCCCAAAAGCACTTTAAAGCAATTTCTGCCCTGTTCCATATTTTACAGTAAAGCTTTTAGATGTTAGATGTTTAGATGTCACAACATAATAACACCTAGATCCACACACACACACACGCATCTTCCTTGTGAGGACTTCTATAATTTTCTACTCATTTTTGTATTACTGTATCCAAATAATTCTACATATACACCTATCCTAACCTTAACCTCAGTATCCGAAGACAATTTTTCTGCTGTTTTATTTTTTCAAAAAATAAAAAATAAAAAAGTGTAATTTGTGGTGAAATCATCATGTGCTCAAGAAAGGACAAAAATGTCATGTTGTCCTATTATTGTAAGGACACGTAGTCCTCACAAGGATAGCAAGACGTATGCGCATATACATTCCCAAACCCAAAGAGTGTTAAATTATTTGACCTAGTTTTACAGGTGAGAGCTTCAATTTTAGTACTTTCTTATTCACTATTTTCTGTTATGTTTTCTCTGCACTGTTTAACATTGTTTAACTGTTTAACAAATTAAGTGATCAGAAACAAAGAGAGTGAAACGTAGGTGGGTGAATTATTATTTGATTTTGTAATTGTGAGTAAGTACTAACCAGCTGTGATGAGGGTGACTGCAGAGGAAAGAAGAATGAGAGCCACACAGCTGTCCATCTCCCTCTGACCAGCACACAGTCCGTTCAACTCAGCAGCAGAACAAGCTTCACCTCTGATCCCCCAGCGAGACTGAAGAAACTGAGACAGAGAGAGAGAGAGAGAGAGAGAGAGAGAGAGAGAGAGAGAGAGAGAGAGCTCCTCACAGCCGCCAATCACACTCACTATGACCTTATTAGAAAGAGAAGAGGAAATCATCAAACATTTTCAGTGACAAATCAGAGGAGGCGTTTTTTTCTTTCTCCATATTTATCAAAAGAGCATCAGCGCTGATGAACAGAACTCCACCTCCGTCTCTAGAGGTGTGTGTGTGAGGAGAGACGCTCGCAGCAGTGTGGTGAGAAACACACCAACATATAGGAGACTGACTTCAGAGAGAGGAAACACTCCAGTGTAATACAGCATTAATGCTGCACCTGCAGAGAGCTGATCCACACACTGATAACCATCTCACACACACACACACACACACACTCTCTCTCTCTCTCTCTCTCTCTCTCTCTCACTCTCTCTCTCTCTCTCTCTCTCTCACACACACACACACACACGCACACACACACACACACACTGATTACCTACACTTACACACACTGATAACCATACGCACACACATGCACACACACACTCACACACAGACACATGCACACAAACACTGCTAACCTACTCACACACACACACATTGATAACCTACTCACTCTCTCTCTCTTTATCTCTCTCTCTCTCTCTCACACACACAAGCACTGATAACCTACTTACACACACATTGATAACCTATTCACTCTCTCTCAGTCTCTCTCTCTCTCTCTCTCTCTCTCTCTCTCTTTCTCTCTCTCTTACACACACACACATAAATAACCTACACACACATACACACCTCTGATTTGTCACTGATAACCTACTCTCAAACACACACACACACACTACTTACATTCACACTCTGATCACCTACTCACACACACACGCTTTCTCTCACACATACACATTGATACCCTACTCTCTCAGACACACAATCATTAACACAAACACACAAACACACAAACACATGAACACACTCACAGTGTCATCCCCTCCCCCCTCTCACACACACGTACACACACCTGCAGCTGTGTGGTTTCTCTGTATGTACAAAAATGGAGTTTTACAGGAATCACACAGTTTAACTTCAGCTGTCTAATAGATGTTTATCAGTAGAATTAACACACTACACTACATGTTGATCTACTCTAACTGCACATTTCATCTAATATACACTAAACTCTCATTTAACTGATTTATTCTTATACTTAATACACTGAGAAAATAATACTCAAGACATGATTTTAACTCACTGACTTACTGACCCAATCAGTCATTCAATCATTTGCTTATTTGCTCACTTACTCATTCAGTCGCTTACTTGCTTACACATCCACTCAATAATTAGCCATCATGCTGAAATACTCACTCAATCACTCACAAATGTGCTCACTCACCGACTCACTCACGCATACACACACACACACACACACACACACACACACACATATTCTCTGTCACACATGCTTACACATGCACACTGATAAACTAATAACATGCTTTAAGTCAATGTACAGATAAACAAGAATACAAAACTTATAAAGGTTTATAGTAAAGAATATTTAAAGGGGAACTCCACCAATTTTGCAAAATTACTTAATCACTGAGTGGTTTAGATGTGAACAAAATCATTCCGAGTGGTTCTGTGTGAAATGCGTCTTCCGAAGAAATTTAGTGCAAATTGTTCACCATTATAGTACTGGGAACCAGATTCCTGGCGTATTTAGTGGCTCTGAAAGCTACATTCTGTTATTACACAAGAAGGTTATGAATGCATGGCTTGATACCTGAGACATTGTTTTGTGATAGTTTTGTTATAAAGTTTTGGCCTAAAACATAATTTTAGTATAAACTAAAACTCCAGGATTAGTTCCTAAACCATTAAAAGATTCATTTATTTCCCCTTTAAATATGTAATTAAAGTTATCTGAACTGAGGAACAAGCTGCTTTGTAATTATTTTGTAATAAATGAAAGAAAGTACATGATAATACAGTTTTTGTTGAATGCTTACACACTGAAAGTGAATGCTTAGACAAAAGCATTAACCTTAACTTCTGTAGCCATGATTTAAACAAAGGCACTTCAAACTGCACTTTGATTGCAGTTCTCCAACACACTTATGCAAAACAATATCACTGTCACAGGAGCAGTTGTGTTTGAGTGAAGATGATGTTGGACAGAAGTAAATCTGAGATTCATTGCCTCTACACTGAAACTCCTCTGACCACACCTGGCTGGCTGGCTGATTGACTGCCTGGCTGGCTGAATGGCTGACACATATAAGCTGCTTCTGCTCTAAAGCCTGTGGTGCTGATTCTGCTCCCACATCACCAACCCGTCCACACCAGAGGAGCACAATCCTCAAACTCTCACTGACAACTGCTGCATCTGTAGGGGTCAGCATCTAAAGCAGGGTCATGACCCTGAGTGCTTTTCTTAAAACATGCATTTTTCCTCCAATCAAAGGAGCGTCCTCAGACTGAGAGTTCTTAAATATTTCTGATAGAATATTGGTCATTTCATCAGCCAGAAGACTGTGCATTGTGTTCCAGCTTTTCAGACGGTTCCACATTAGATCTTGTTTGAAACATAAAAGTAAGACAAGAACAGGAAGAGAATAGTGATTATTACATTATAACAGATGCAGTTTTAAATTTTCATTACTTTGCTTCTGAGCCTCTTGTTCAGAAATGGGACAAATGAAAAATGTTCAGAATATGGCCTACTTTTTAATTAAGTTAAATGAGTTATAAAATCAGTTATTTCTAATATAAATCTAAATACACAAATGTTAAATATGAGTTAACACATTTGTGTAGACTTTAATGTGTATGTTTTCCAAAAGGACTTGGATTTCATAAGTGGACACAAATTATTATAATTGAAAAATTATTATTTTGAATTGAATCTATTTTAAAAAACATAGGCTTACCTTTTCGATGAGTTTTCTGATGAGGCTGCAAGGTTGGTGGGTGTGGTAGACTGGCCAGGTGGGCTCACTGGAGAAGTCTGGGCATTCTTCTTCAGCTTTTCTTCTGCAGTGAGAGCTGCTTCTATCCCCAGCATATGAATGAGAGTCGGCAGGAAACTCTTCATCACTGATTTTGCGACAGAAATCACAATGTTTGTGCAGAGAGAACTCCACTTTTATTCCCTGTTTTATGGAAACATAAATAAAGGAAAAATCAGTGACATGTTTCAGGATTTATTGTTATATTGTGTGCAGCATCTTACAAACTGAAATGAACAACGCTTCTTGCATTACTGCATTATATTTTCAATACTTACTGCATTTGACACATTGTTCATCAAAGCTCTCCATTCCCTAGAAAACATTAAATACAACTCCATTTCCCAAAAAGTTGGGACGCAGTGCAAGATTTAAATTTAAACAGAATACAATGATGTGCAAATCATTATATTTCACTGAAAATAGTACAGAGACAACATATCAAGTGTTGAAACGGAGAAATTTAATTGTTTTTTGAAAAATATATAACCATTTTGAATTTGATGCCAACAACACGTTCCAAAAAAGTTGGGACAGGGCAAGAAAAGGCTGGTAAAGTTGTGTAATGCTAAAAAAACACCTGGTGGTTGATTGGAAATAGGTCAGTAACATAATTGGGTATAAAAAAGCATCTCAGAGAGGCTGAGTCTTTCAGAAGTAAAGATCAGGAGGGGTTCACCACTCTGTGAAAGACTGCACAGGGCAAATAGTGCAACAATCCAAGAATAAAGTTTCTCAATGTAAAATAGCAAAGACTTTTGCTTTTCATCATCTACGGAACATTATATCATTAAAAGATTCAGAGAATCTGGAGAAATCTCTGTATGCAAGGGACCAGGCCAAAAACCAATATTTGCAGGCCATGATCTTTGGGCCCTCAGGAGGCACTGGTTTACAAACAGACATGATTCTGTGAAAATCTTTGCATGGCCTCAGAAACGCTTCTGAAAAACACTGTCCGTGAACACAGTTCGTCGCTACATCCTACAGTGATTTTGGTTTTTCGTTGATTCCGCGATGTTTCATGCTTTCCTGGCATTTCTAGAGATCAAATAATGATTAAAAATGATTAATATGAAAGTGATTCCAGACTTTTGAGCGCTCATGAATGTTGGGTCAGAGTCTACAGTACATTAGAGTTGGTATCACCATGTTAACACATATACTGAGCTGATTTTAATAATAGTTCTACAGCTTCTTTAAACAGCAGACAGTGAACAGTACAAGTGAATGTAGATCCGGAGTCCAGCACGCGCTCGCTCACAGCTCGGTAAAGTTAGGTTGATATTGGATATTCAGCGCATATTCGCGTTTCGCCCCTCCTATCGCTCACAAACAGCCTCCTAAAATTTCTGAAATAACATTTTCTAAATCGTGGTAAAACAGACAACAAACTACAATCTTTATTTTTCGCCGAAGTACTCGATCTTTCCATTTCGCTGAGTAGATATGATGAAAATAGCCGGAATCGCTGCAGCGGCCCGCAGAAAACGGTAAGGGACCGTCTGTAAAGTGTGGGTACTGCGTAAAAACGTAAAACATCCACATACGTGAGCAGCTTGTTGGTGTTGTTTACGAAGACCTGAAACCTACTGAAATATAAAGATTATGTGAAAATCAATACCTGACATTAACAAGTATACACTTTTAGCAAGTTAGGCAGTCTAAAGGCGTGTTCAGTGGACCTTCTAACTGACCTGAGACACACTGAGCAAACCTACTGCAAAATAAAATAACTTGTACTTAATTAAACAACATAATACAAATAACATACAAGCATTGGTTTGAGAAAGACCTGACAAACATACTACAACCTTTAATGACTACTGTGTCACATCCATATGACTTCTAGATCTAAAATCACTTGTAGTGTACAGAGACACGCCTGACAAACATACTACAACCTTTACTTTGGTAAAATATGCCTTGAATGAATTTGAATTAATTTTTTATAGAAATAAATCACTACTGTGTCACATCCATATGATTCTAGAAATAAATTGGTACTGTGATACAATTGTAGTGTACACTGATTTGTAGTGAACATGTCACAAATGTATTTAAACTTTTAGTTTACTAAATTTATTCTTTGATTGAATTTTAATTTCCTGCAATGGACTTGTGACCTGTCCAGGGTGTTTTCTGCCCTTCGCCCAATGACTGCTGGGATAGACTCCCCTCCCACCCTCCGTGACCCAGAAGGATAAACAGCTTAGAAAATGTGTGTGTGATCTCACATACTTTAGAACATATACTTGATCAACTTCTTTAAGAGCATCTGAATACTAGACTTAGGTGTGGTGGAACTACAGCCCTGCTGGGTGGTAGTTCTTTAAGTGTAGAGTTGAGTATTTTTGAATACCCCATTTCCAAAAAAGTTGGGAATAAATTTATTCATTGGACCATAGGACACTTTTCAACTTTCCCTCAGTCCATTTTAAATGAGTTCAGGCCCAGAGAAGGTGACAGCATTTCTGGATCCTGTTATAGTTTCTTCTTAGTGTTTTAGAGTTTTAACTTGCATTTGTCGTTGCAGTGATGAACTGTTTTCACAGACAGTGGTTTTCAGAAGTGTTTCTGAGCCCATGCAGTGATTTCCACTACAGAATCATGTCTGTTTTTAATGCAGTGCTGCCTGAGGACCCAAAGATCATGGCCAGCAAATACTGGTTTTTGGCCTTGTCCCTTGCAAAACAGAGATTTCATTTAATCTTATAATGATATTATGTACCGCAAATGATAAAAAGCAACAGTTCTTTTCTTTTATGTCAAGAAAAGTTGTTCTTGAATTGTTGCGCTATTTGATCATGCAGTCTTTCACAGAGTGGTGAACCCCTCCTGATCTTTACTTCTGAAAGACTCAGCCTCTCTGGGATGTTTTTTCCACCCAAACATGTTACTGACTTGATGCCAATTAAACACCAGGTTTGTTTTTTTTTAACATTTCAGTTTCACCAGCCTTTTGTTGTCTCTGTCCCAACTTTTTTGAGACATGTTCAACAAGGGCAAATACTTTTCAAAAAACAATAACATTTCTCCTTTGATATGTTGTCTTTGTACTACTGTCAATTAAATATCGAGTTTAAATGATTTGCACATCATTGTATTTTGTTTTCATTTACATTTTGTACAGCGTCCCAACTTTTTTAGAAATGGGGTAGGAAATGATCAAGCTTCAGGTTTGTGAACTATTTGGTGTCACTCCACTCTCCTGTTCCACCAGGGGTTCTAGTTTCCTGCTCAGCCAGCCTCCACCACTGACCAGCTCCTCAAGCCTGTCTAAACTGCCAATCCTGTGGTCCAGATTCACCCAATGTTTTGGGCTTTGGGAACCTCACTTTATGTAGTGTACTCTTGTTTGGGACTGGCCCGCTCCGGCTCTGACTCCACTCACTTATTACCACACACACTCGTGGCCCATTTGTAAGACTGAATAACAAGCAAACAGTATTGTTTTAATGTTTCAGGCACTTGAGAAAAATATATTTAAAAAGTTATTTAATTGGTCAGTAAGCATTCATTTGTTAAGAAAAACATAAATATTAGGATGAATACAAATTTCCAAACATTTCCAAACCCTCTTGGGGTTTCTAAACCCTTGTGGGCATCAAGTAATTATTTTATTTTTTATCCCCTAGTCGGTTTCATTAAATCAGGAGTGCTGGTTGTTGGATTTGAACAAATCTTTGCTGATGTACTGACACCTTCCTCCGATGACTATGAGAGTCAGATTGTCCCTAATGTCATGGGCTGGTGTATAGGGAACCAGCCTTGCGACCGGAAGGTCGCTTGTTCGATCCTCTAAGCCGACAGTCTGTGACTGAGGTGCCCTTGAGCAAAGCATCCAACTGCTCCCTGGGTGCTGCAGATAGGGCTGCCCACTGCTCTGGGCAAGTGTGCTCACTGCCCACTAGTGTGTATGTGGCGTTTCACTGCATGGATGGGTTAGATTGCGGAGGTAAAATTTCCCCATTGTGGGACTAATAAGGGTCTCTTAATCTTAATAAAGCGGGTCGGTGCATGTATACTACCGCAGCACCCATTTGTTTTAACACATAACGCAAACCTATAAAAAAACTATAAATTTAAATAATTTAATATTTTAAATTGTTTCATTTCTAATAATTAAGACTACTCTGACAAATTGTTGACATACAGATCTACAGACCTACAGTCACCTTTAGTGTACTTAGGCACATCTCATAAACCTTTGGTTTGGAAACCATGCAATATGTATAAAAAGTTTTAGGAGTATGTTATACAAAGCTGCGCCGTGGGCATTTTAATTTTGGGCAATACATTTTAACTTTGACATGTTTTGCAGTCCTACTAGAATATTCAATACACATGCACTAGAATTTTCCTGAAAAACTTTTCTCAAGCAAACTACAACCTTATTAGCATACTGTGGCAGAATTAGTTTTTTCTGGAGCAAATAATTTGTCGCACATGAACAACATACAGTAGTCTGATTGTCATTATTATTTCATGAATGAAGTGTTGCTGAGGCACATCCATGTGACAAAAACATATTCATCTTTAAAAAATAAAGAAATAAAACTAACAAAAGTGTATCCAGTCTACAAAAAGTACAAACTGCCATCAGTGCATCCAAAGATGTGCAGAATTAAAATAAATATATTCTGGGGTATGAATTGCTGAACAGCTGACTATAACTTACACAACACTAAGCTAACAATACAGTAAAAAAAAAGTTTTTGCAATGTTTATATTTTAAAAATACTTAATTCACATTACTATGTTGTTTCCTCATCAGGAACAGCATCTGGTATCATTCCATAGCAGTCTGCATGGAGCCAACTTTTACAAGTCAAACTAAAGGTTGTAGTATGTTTTTCATGCACGTCTCTGTACACTACAAGTGATTTTAGATCTCTAAGTCATATGGATGTGTCACAGTAGTGATTTATTTCTATTAAAAAATCATTAAAATTCAGTTGAGGCATATTTTACCAAACTAAAGGTTGGAATATGTTTGTCAGGCATGTCTTTGTACACTACAAGTGATGTTAGATCCATAAGTCATATGGATGTGACACAATAGCGATTTATTTCTATAAAATATTA